GCTGTGCCCCCGCGGCCCCCGCCGCCTCTAGTCCTCTCTAGGGCAGAGTTGGCTGCAGACCTGGAGGGAAGGCAACGGTGGTGGTGGCTCTGGCGGGAGGCGACTCCTGCTCCTCCTGTGCCTGACCTCCCTCTCCTGGGACACCAGAGTGCCTGCACATGTGTGCGGCCCCGGTCGTCCCTACTTTGCCTCTGTCCTGCGGACCTGCAACGCCCAGAGCAGGGCCCCCCCGGCCTCCCCCCCTAGGCAGCGTGCAGGTCTCCAGAAGCAGTAGGAAGCCCAGGAGGTTTGGGAGCAAAGGGGAGACAGGCCAGGGCAGCGTGACACTAGAGGGCAGCAGGAGCCAGAGCCCTGCTTTGCAGAAGCGGGATGAGCTGGCAGAGATGAAGCCTCTGGTTCCCACAGCTCCAGCCCCGACGTGGGGCAGCCAGTGGGCTCAGGGCGGTGCTAGGTCGGGGGCAACGGGTGCAGGAGGGATCCAGGGAGATGCTTTGCTCAGCCCTGTAAGCTCCTTGCTAGCTAGCAGTGGTACCTCTTCCTCAGGCTGAGTCCTGCCAGGAAAGCCAGCACAATGGCCACGCAGCAGCAGCCCACTATCACGCTCCAAAATCCAGTGTTCCCCGGGACCGCAGACTCCTGGGCACCCACTGTTCCTTCTGGGGAGATACAAGGCAAGCAGATACATGGACCCCAGCCCTACCATGGGGCAATTGTGGTGGCAGGGCTGAAAGCCTCCCCGAGCCCCTGCAGGAGTGGCCCCGTCCCTCCCCTGCATCGCAGGGCCTGTGGGGGCTGAGCAGGCAGATGGGAGAGGGGCACGTACTTCTCTGTGCCACGGGGCTGACGTGCAGCACCGTGTGGTTCTTGAAGATGCTGCTCCACTGCTGCAGCCGGATCTCGCACACGTATGTGCCGCTGTCGTTCACCTGCACGTCCTGCAGCTGGATGGAGCCATCCCAGCGGGAGATGTCCCCCTGCCACTGTACCCGGTCCCGGAAAGGGCCTACAGGGATGCTACGGTTGCTGTAGTAATAAAACACCATCTCCTCCTGCCAGGGCACAGATGGCATCAGGTGAAAGGAGCCTGGGGGACAGGAAACTGCCCCGTGCATGTTCCTTGCGCGAGAGCCCTCTGATCTGCTCTCCCTCCCTCTGCCCTCATCGAGCGCTCCCTGTGCACGAGAGAGCCTCTTTCATTCCCACGTGGTCTGTGGAAAGCCCCAAGACACCCTGCCAAGTGCTGTGGGGCCACGGAGAGTGCATGGAGGTACACAGCCACCAGATAGGGGTCTTCCCTGCTTCATGACCCAGGCCAGGGGGGCTTCCCCACAGCCTCCTGAGAGCAGCAGCGGTAGCTTGCTCAGTCTCCCTACCCTGCCACCTCCCTCTGCCTCCAGCCTGCTTGGCCACCGAGTCAAGGAAGCGGCACTGCAGCAGGACGGAGTCCCCGGAGCAGGCTTGGAGCTGAGGCTGCACGAAGACCCAGCCAGCTGACCCGCTGCATCTCTCTGCCAGGGACAAGGAGAGCAGGATGAGTCCAGGGAGGACGAGCAGATGCAGCCTGCCCATCCCCATGGATCCGTCTTCTCCAGAAGAGCCTGGGAGCAAGGGGAATGTCCAGTCTGGAGCACAATGGGGAGGCCCTGCTCCCTGTATGGGCAAAGCCTCTCCCCGAGCCCTGCTCTTGGCCTGTCTGAGATGCGGAGCAGCTCATCCTCCCACTGCCTGAGCGAGCACAGCAACCGAGGCTGCTGCGCTCACTGAACAAGCTACACTGAACAAGCTACACAGAAGAGAGGGAAGCCACCTCAGGACTCATAGCACAGCCCCAGCCCTTTGCGTCTCGGAGCCAAAGGCTGTGGGCTCTCGCAGGGTTATTCTTGTGAGTCACTGGCTGGGAGAACCAGCGCTGCTGTCATCTCATCAGGCCAGAGGCAATTCAACCTCTTCACATGAATTTCAGTTCCTCCTTTCACAACCTGTCCGTTTGGCTTCCTTACTTCTTGCTCACAGGCTCCCGACCTAGGCCGGAGACTTGTCTGGCCGCATAACTACTGCTGAAGGTTTCTGGAGAAGCCAGTCAGGGGAAACAGACAGAGGAACACCAAAGAGCAGGCAGCTGACACAGCCTGCACGAAGCGGCTGCCGAGACAAGGGGCCAGAAAGCACGCAGCAGGAAGGGGAAGCAGTAGGGCTGAAAAGGCCCCTGTGGTTCACCAGCACAAACCCTCCATGCCCCAAAGTCTGTGCAGTCAAAATGGCAGCAGAGGGATGCAGCTGCTTGCCTGGAAAAGCAGGGCAGAGCAGAGCCCTTGAGAGGACAAAAAGACTGCAGACGGCAGGAAGGGAAAGAAAGCACTGGCAAAACCTAGCAGAGAAAGCAGCAGGATCTCTGGCCCTTGTTTGGCAAGAACCTGGCGAGCTGATTCGGGGGTAGCTGCGCAGCCAGGTAGATGTTTCCTGGTGTCTTAGCCACTCTGTTCAGTTCTTCCACAAGCCACTGAGGGCTGGGCCCTGACAAAGCACCCGGGAAATATTGAATGCAAAGTGCTACAGCTTCCCAAACTGGTTTCTTTGGGCTTGACCAGGTGTGGAGCCTAGCTGAAGAACATGCCAACGGAGGAGCCTAAGGGAGCCGGTTGCCTTGAGCAGAGCCCAAATCAATACCTTGGAAGCCTTTCCCTGCATTTAGGCTTGGCAAAGCAGTTCTAGTCCTTCCTGAGCCTGGGAGCCAAGGGCAGGTCTCCACGCAAGGACATTCTTGCAATTCAAGGCCTAGTAGGTCCCCAGGAGCAGGCTCAACGCTCCCAGGCCTGGGTGCCTGCAAATCCCCAATAGTAGCTTTTCCGCCAGAGAGATTCTCACAGCAGAAAGGGAGGGACTGGATAGGTCCTTCAGCAAAAGCAGAGGGGAAAGCAGGCAAGGTGGATAAAACCACCCAAACAACTTACAGCTTACCGAGCAACGTCAGCACCAGAGGCAGGGTCAGCAATACCTTCATCTTACTCTAAAAAAGAACAGCAGAGGGGACGCACGCATCAGCTTTCCCTGGGGAAGGACACCAGCTGCTTGCAACTGAGTTGAACCCCAAAGTCAATAAAAGACTTTCTTCTGTTCTTTGGAGAGGAATACAACCTGTGCTTCCCTGGATATTCAGCCTCTTGAAGTTAGCCCCACAAAGCGCAGTTCACAGCTGGGAGCCTGAAACAGTGAAGTAGAGAAGTCAGATATATGGTTTGAGACTGCTGTGAGCCCTCGAAAGGAAGAGAGAGAGGGGAGGGCTCAGCCTGAAACATCTTTGCATTTCCCCCAACTAATGAAACTTTCCGGTGGTTTGAGGGTCGAGCCTCTGGCTGGCGAACTGAGACATTTAGAGAGGTTAACTCTCCTCAGACAACAATGGGATGTTTTTTCTATTGCACGCACAAAGGAGTTTGGCTACAGACCCTAAAAACACAGGCCCCTCATCCTGGACATAATTTCCCTGCTTCAGAGTACTGTGTACGGTGGAAACTTCTGCTTGAACCCTCCAGGGTCTGTTCAGACAGGGCCGTCTTTGATCACTGCATGCAGTTTGACCTGCTGCACGTTTCTGTAAAAATAAAAGCTGGCATCTTCTTTCTACAGATGGTAGAGATGTCCTGAAGCCCAAGGAAGAACTGTCTGTCATTATTGGGAGTAGGCTAGCCAGTGCTCATGCATGGATTACAGGAAATGAAAAGCGAGAGCCCTGCTTGCTGGGTTTTTGCTCCATGACTCAAAGCTAGGCCGGTTCAAAATTGGTTTAACATATTTAAGGACAAAACGGCATTGAGAGAAGTCCTCCAGCTTGGAGAACCTGCACATGTTACTGCTGAATCTGAGGCTGGCATTACCAGCACATATTTTCTAATACAGGCATGTCTGCTGCAAGAATAGAAAGACGACAAGAGAAGAATTATTTTTTAGAAATCCTGTTACCTTCTCTCATTTTTCCTCCACTGTGCAAGCCAGAAGCCCTCTAGAGCAGCTTCAGTAACAGCTTGGAATAGGAAAAGGTCACAGATACTAATCCCCAGGAAACAGCCATTAAAGAAAGGTGTGCAGGTGAATACGGAAGGTAAACATCTGTCACGTTTATTTCTATCATTCTCAGAGATCCACTACTCCCTTCAGCACTGTGGAGCAGAAAGCCACAGAGACAAACCTGTAGTCTTGGGATTCCAAGTTTCCCGAAGCAGCACTTGCATCCGTTGTGCTTCACACGGAACGAATGGTGAAAACACCACCGCGTGCAAACGGACAGCACAGGCAGCAGGGTGTGAGAGGGGACGCACCAGCTCGGTGCACGTGCAATGCAAAAGCTAACGTGGATCAACGCAGAGCCAGCAGGGAGCGGGGAATGCCTCCTCCCCACCACTGGCGGTGGTGCTTCCATCTCTTTTTGTGGCCAGACACGTTTGCTAATACCTTTTTCTTTCCAAATGCGTTTTTCTCAGTGGGGCAAGCTCAGAAACACCCTTACAGCTCAGGCAGGGATTCTAGCCCCAGCAGCAGCTGCTGGGGGATGCACAAGTCTGTTCCAGACTGAGAAAGAGTCACAGAGCCTTTCCAGTAAGCATATGGCTTTCTGGCCTACAGTCCATGACATAAAGCCACCGCTACCTTTCATCAGCCTCCCCTTTTCATACACAAAATCCTGAAAAGTGGCCCCAAGCCTGCTGCGAGTCTCTCAAATCTGTTTTTCAAAAGCAAGAACTGTTTGGGGGTTGGGGTTTTTGGAGGCGGAGGGGAAAGAGGTATGTGGTTTGAATATGCTGTTTGCATTTCTGCCATGACACAAGTTACTGTACAACCCATGCTTGCTCTGAATATAGCGCACACATGACCTACAAACATAGCAGAACTCATGCTCAGCTCCAAAGCTCTCGACTGCTGCAGCCTATCTCAGAGCTATAGCTTCCCAGGACCACTCCTTTTCCAGGTTCAAAATAGGAGCCAGCTTTCAGTACCAGAAGCCCCCCCTGGGATATTTACCCCCCACAATTTCCAAAGCTCTCTACACTCAAGCTACTGACTTATACAGAGGCTCTGACCCTTACTTATCATCAAATCCTTTCCGGACTTACTGCCCTATTTCTCAGAATAAATCCTCGTCCTGCCTTGGAGCATGTGTTTGCAGGGTCTCCTTTTGCGGCATGCCTCGGTCAACGGGTGCATCGTGCGCATCAGCTGAAGGCAGCACCCACTCACCAAGGCTGCTATAGTTAATACAATATAGACATTTCTGAATCCCTCCATAGGACAACTACCTTTTCTAAATGGATTGAAAACGAAATATGCAGACATGCCGCCTTTACGCTTTCCTACTTTTGCACATGGAATCTGAACTCTGAGCACTTCTATGCCTCCCTCATTCTTTTCAGGAAAAAGAAAAAAAAAAAAAGGTAAACATTATAGCAAACAACACTCACCCTGTGTGGCTTGAGGCAGAGAGCTTGCGTCTTCCATGAAGGGCTCTTCAGTGACTAATTCAGAGACTCCGAATGATTCAGATACTAAATCTTCTTGAGGCTGTGCATGCAAGACATTTAAAAGTTAGCAGCCTTTGGTTTCAGGGCTCTTACTTCAGGTTCAGTTTGTTGGTCACTTTTAACTTGCAAGCGGAAGTTGAGAGCTAGACCAGGGTACTGACAAATCAGGAGGCAGAAGAGGCTAGTGCAAAGAGATGAGGAGAATTACACGATTATGTATGCCTGAGCGCAGATAATAGGTGTGCAGCTTCATAACGAGAAGACGTTCTTCACAGGTGCAAGATATGGCCCAGGTCCAGTCCGTTGCTTGCCACAGACAGATCTGATCAGTCATTACGTAACAAGTCACGAAGGGAGAGATTCTTGGCAAGCAACCTGTGCTCCCTGCTTGGCTTTGTTTTTTGGGGTCAGAGCAGGTTAAAGAACAACCAGTGCAGGGCCTCATCCGTCTGTAGACTGGATCTCGTCCTGACGAGGGACGACCAGCAAGCAACGCTAAGCAACTTCACTGAACGTTACTATTAGTACTATCAGGAGCCACAGCTTGGCAGGCATCTTATGGCCAAAAAGCCCCTGTCAGCATCCTTTTCATAGCGTACAGTCTTGCCTCTCTTAATTTCAAACACAGACATAGGATACATAGCATAGGTTGTTTTCTGCTGGTACCCACAACCCCCAATTCCCAGTCATTTTGAAAGCATATTTTCATCCTCCCTCTTCCTATGGGGCACCACAGCAATCACTGCACTCTGCCCCAGTAAACTGGTTTTAATGGTACACAGAGCAACTTCCATGCAGCTAGCAAAGGCAGAGAAAGCTAACCTTTGCTCGTGCTCAAAACCATTCACAATCCCAAACGCTATTCGCCTCGAGGTGGCAATTTAGCTTTGCACCATAAAAAGATGGAAACAGTGGGCTAAATCCTAGGCGCAAAGTGGTCTCGTTGAAGGCAAACACTTTGTAGACAAGAGCAGTTACTCATTTCCACAAAGAACTGAATGACGTATCAGCTCTGAAAGTGGAACAACAAAGCCACTTCCCTCAGGGTTGCAAATCAGCCCCACCAACATCCTTTCTCTGGATAGTTTTGCTCGGGAGAAGTATTTTGTCATCAAAAAGCACAAACTTTTCAAATATTATTTTATTGCAGGCAGGAGGAAAATACATTTCTCTGTCTGGAGGCACAGAACTACAGCTCACCTGCTTTGCAGTCAGGAACACAGAGGCAAATACAATGACTCCGATACGCGTCAATATTGGCAGCCATTGCAGAGCTGCCAAATGGGGACAGAGTACGTGGTCCCTTTGGAATTAAGTCTGTTTCCTAAACACCATTTCCATCATCACAGGACAATTTCTACAGCTAACTGGTCAGAACGGCAGGTTTCTGAGTTCCTGTAACTCAACAACATTTACCTGTATTAACCCAAATAAAGACATCTGCAGCCTAAAATGAAACAAAGCAGTTTATTGGTAATGGCACATCAAAGGTGGCAGTAAACTTGTGACACATAGGTAAAAGGACACTATTTGATCAATGCCACGCACAGAAAGCAAGCAAAGGATAGGAGCTCTTCAGCTACAACGCAGAGAGGAATTTCACTGCTCTCATTTCTGAAATCCATTATTGAACAAGGTCAATGAAAGAGAAAGTACTCTTTTCCCTACAGGGCAGTACTGACATGTTTAGTTGTTTCTTTAAAATCGTACCTAGAAGAAGAGACAAACGACACGATTGTTTTCCTGAACACGAAGCCTTACTTTGAACACTGCCTTGAGTCAATGGCTGAGGTAGATGTGGTTTTATGTCACCCTAGGTCCACAGTCCTCATTTGCATTGCTGATTTAAAAAAAGAAAACAAAAACAAAAAAAAACCCGGCTGTATATGAATTGCGCTTTATTTCTAAAAGCAGTTGGAGGTGCAGCTACTGATGCAGTTGCTGAACAAAACAAAAAAACCAACAATGTAAGATAACAGTCCTGTGGCTGACGGTGACATAAAAAGAAGAGAAAACGAAAAAAACTTCAGGAAACAGTAGAAACAAAGTGGTGATCCTGTAATTAGATGGCAGATCATCCCAAGAAAGAATTAAAAAGCAGTAGGTTCCCCTTGCTCCAAGACCAAGCATGCCAAATACCAACCCAGTCAGGATGGTTTAAGTCTTTAAACACCAAACGTTCCAAAAGAATCGGGAAGATAACGTTGCCAATGCACAATGATCATCACCTTAGAGAGCTGCCATATTACTCTGGATTAGTTTGTGCTTCAGGCAATTTGAATTCAAGGGTGCAGGAAAAGAGGGATATCGCTATGACAATAAAGAAAATAGATCAGCATGTAAACTAAGAAATACGCATTGCCAGATTGCTGGTAAATAACAAACTGTACAGCTGTAGGCACTGAGGTTGCTGTAGGCACTGAGGTTGCTGTAGGCACTGGAGAGGTGAGGTTTTAAGAGTTGCTTTCTCCCCTCCACCACAATAAATTAGAAAGATTTCACAAATCATCATTTCCGTGCTTAAATAAAAATGAATTCTCTCATCAGCATTGTTTTTCCAATCCACCAAGATTAGAGCAGCTCCTTCAACCTGTTCTGGTTATCCAGCAGCCTTCGTACCTATCTAGCCAAGATTTTCAAAGCTGTAATTTTGCTCTTTGTCCATGGTTTTGGTCACTCATCAGTATGGGTCTTCCTCGTCTGTGTCCTAAACAGGAAGTATGGAGAGAGAAGTTGAGACTATGTATGAAGACATGAAGGGATTCATGAGTTCAACAAAATTTCGAGTCTGCTAGGCTTCTGACATGTTTTCCAAAATGTTAGCGTGCTTGAAAAAGCCGCACGTCTTGTAGTTGCATAACCACTTGCAGCTAAATCTGTTTGACTTGTCACAAACACAGATGAATTGCCACTGCATAATTAACACGTGAAGCGTCTTTTAAGAGAAATAACAGCTCAACCTCAAGCAAGAGACAAACTGTACCAAGGGCAGATACCAGTCTTCCTAAAAAGCACCACCGATCCCTACAGAGCAGGTCCAGAGCAGCCTAAGTGGTTGCATTTTTCAGCTATGACCAGTCACAGACCTTCAGATGCCCATCATCTGTTGTTTTAAGAATAGCTGTCATTTTAGGGCATCCTCATGTTCCAGCACTGCAGCTTTCAACTTTAAAGATGTTCAAACGTTAACAGCTCTGTCTGGGAAATCTCACCAACTTTGCAGTCCATTTCAAGTCTGAACAGTTTCACTATTTTGTAACATATTAAGCACGAAAAAAGCGTGCGACAGGCACCTCAAGAAGAAGAGAGAGGTTAAAATGAGTAAGGCGGCATGCGCCCATCTTTGCAAAAACAAAGTGGATTTAAATATTCCTGCCTCCATTCCTCACATAGCACTGTCAAACCCAGAACATACAGCTCAAACCCGGTTTTGCAGAGCCTTGATACAAACCACACAGCACAGTAGCTACACTTAAAACTCTGAATTTTCATCGTGAGATGTGAACTCTGATTGCAAGAAAATCAAATGAAAAATCAATTTGGTGGATCTCCAGATAACTTCCCTCCCCACTAATGCACTATGACTAGCAGTTTTCACTCCCAACAGCCCAGTTGCGGAAAATACCAAGGAACATGACCCCAGCCATTTAGGATGCTTCTCTGCAGTCCAGAGGCATTACAACTACCTGCTGCTCTTAGCACCTCCTCTGAGCACTGAAGCTGACAAAACCACTTATGAAAACATCAGCTTTCACTTACCACACAATTCCAACACCAGACTCTGAGTCTCCCCAAGCAGTTGTCCGTCTCTGTACATTCAGGCCTGCAGAACAAGCACAGGATTAGGTTGGACCTAACACACCTCCAACACACACACTAATTTCTCATGCAAGCTGAATTTTAGTTCTGTCACACTGAATTGAAGGCTTTTCATCATCCATTTGATTCTGTATAGCAAATCCGAAAGGAATAAAAAGGCTTAGGTCCCTTCCTTCAAAAGCTGGCATTTCCTTTAACAACTGCCATGAAAGACGCTGCTGTTTGGCTGGAAAATTTTTCAATACTAAGCAAAATACTGGATTAGAACCCCTGCCCCGTGTACTAAATTGTCGTACTAAATTCATTGCAAAAATAACAGGTATAACTCTAGTAGTAGCAGTGTCTTCCTGATCTCATTACAACCACCATGCTGAACCCTGCCAGCAGAGAATCCTCTCCAGTTCAGAAGAGGATTCAGTCTCTAGAGACCATTCCATCCTTGGGATTTCTGCTCAGGCCATCATCAAAGGAACCAGTTAGCATTATTCAGGCTGTTTCGCTGTTACGGATACTTGACACTGAAACTCAATACACAAACCCACATAAGCAAAATATCTTGCTGATATAGGCTGAAATAAATCCGAACACAGAAGTGAGAAATTCTCTAACCATAGCCTACTTCGGTTCCACTGCCTCGTGCCATTAACAGAAAAAGGGGATGTATAGCATGTAGTTTATGCTCCAGCATATGGATTTTACAAAGGCTTTCTGACCACTAGCTAAATTAGGCTCATGGAGAAGTAGGTCTCGGCAGCTGAACTGCAAGTACCAAGGCTTACGAAATGAAGGGCAACAAAGAAACACTGTCCTGTGCCTACAGGCCAAAGTGGAAATACAGGCTTTACGTTCCAGCCAGAACTTACTCGTCAGACACTTCGATGGAGGATTTCTTACAGCCAGATTTTTTTTTCTCCTTCAGCACTCCAAATTTCCTTCCCATCCTCACCAACAGCAGAACGACCACAACGATGGAGGGGAGAAATACTAATATGGATAACAGCATGGCTGAAGTTAGCTGGAAGGAAAGACCTGCAAGAGAGAAAGAAAAGCCCAGCTGTACCAATAGTAAAATATGGCTTTCTTCAGTGTCTGTGACAAATATTCAGCCAGGACACAGGCTGTTAGTCTTTTCATAGAAAACATAGAGCTGGCAGAGTTGAAACAGCTTGTGACCGAGTCTGTAGGACTCCTATCCCATATCCTGCCCAGCAGAGTGCTTTGTATACAAAATCTAGAATGGAAGGCAGTCACAACATATTTTTATCAGCATGTCCAAACTGCAGATTTGGGGCTGTTCTCACATGCAGGACAGGCGAGGAAATGAAGCATTACTAAGATAAGTATTTCTGGTGTGAGAGTAATTTTAGGCCAATATTTTTCCAGTCGTGCAACTTGTTCTGCTCCTGCTAGATCTGGGAATTGGAATTTCTGACCTATGCACTGAGCATCCAAGAAAGCAACCAGTCACCTCTGATTACCTCTGCACCCGTGCTAAGCCTTCGTGAGGTTCAGGGTGAACCCTGCTCCTATCGTTTACAGGAAAAGCATCCTGTTCATGCTCAGGCTAAACACACACACATTTTTGTCTCCTGTGTCCTCACTGCAGCTTCCTCCGTCACTTCCTGTCCCTAGTAAATTAAATGGTTCTCAGCGTATTTAGCTAAGAAAGAAGGGCTGAGGTAACTCTTGCTGAAATTCTGAAGTGGAACTCCAGGGAACCATTTCTACATGTGAGGCTCAAATTCTTAAGGTTCTGACAAAGCTGAAATGCAGCTGTACCTCACAGATGAGGTCATACTGTTGAAATGGAGGCTTACCCCTCTCTGTAACGATCAGTACCGTCTGGGGAATGTTGTGGTACACGTCTGGAGGATTCTTCACGCTGCAGATGAAGGTCCCATTGTCACTCATCACTGGGCTTTGGATAGCAATGGAAGCATCACCCTTGGCAACATCCCCAATCCAGGATATTCTGTCTTTGAACTTTCCCACTGTTGTTGGGTATGCAACAGACTGATAATGAAAAATCTGAAAGGAGGGAAAGACAACAATACCTCCAATAAAACACTCCCCAAGTAAACTCCTCCTTGGATTTTTAACATAAAGGAACACACGTTAAAAAGTCAGAGAGGTCTCCTGTATAAGAAGTATTTTTTTCCGAGTTCCTATTTGACAATTCTGAATCAGGCCCATTTCATCAAGTCTCCAGAATTTCTATCTCCTGGCCTCAGCCCTCGCATCCATCACTGTCCCTCCTCCGACCAGCTTGTTCCCTTCTGCGGATCTTCAGCTGAGAAACAGAAGCAGGTTCCTTGTCTCGTGCAAGACAAAGCACTGCAGTCCTTCAGCTTCTGCTTCCTGCACTTTCATACTTGCTTTCCTGTCAGTGGAGACTTAGCAGATCTCAGTTTATGCAGGCAGAAGTTGTTCTGGACACAAGGACATTACTAAGATCTCAAATTCCCCAGACAGGAGCCATCACTATTAATCCATACAAAGATGCGCATTTTACGTTTCAGCCTTGAATGCGAGATTTCCAGTGGGCTTCAGATTTATGTAAAAATGTTTAGCTTTAACAATGATGCCAACAAGACAAGGTAACATTCCATAAACCTTAGAGGCTGTCATTATCACTGTCTTCAGACTGTCATTGCACACATGTTCTTATCACTCTGACATAATATATACGAGCAGCAAACTGCATGACAGGACTGCAAGGGTACAACTTCCTTCAAGAAAACTCTCAATCAGTTGCTTTACAGTCATTCTATACATATCTGCAGTATACAATAAAGCACTTGTGTCAAAAGCCAAAGATCTAGTTTATCATCATTATGCTATTACGCATTAACACGGAGTATTTTTTGCCCAAAGGATGCCAAAACAATTCCGGACAGGAGAGAAGGCAACAATGAGAGTCTCAAACCCCAAAGGGATGGAGGAGCACATGAAGGCAGATAGAAAAAAATACCGTCAGATTTTCAACGTGCGCAGAACCCTGGTCAGTCTCCACTAGAAAAGGCTTCCTGCTCTACTTACTGTCTCCATATGACCACCCGTGAGGGGCCGGTACGTCCAGTCTACCGTCAGACTCTCAGTGATGGGAGAACTGGATGTGAACGAGCATTTCAGCGATACTTGCTCACCAATGAAAGCTCGAAACTTTAATTTCCAGGTAAAGAGCACTGCAGACACCTGATGGGACAAGCCCAAAAGACAAGGATTAGATTCTTCTTGCTTGCAAGGCACAGGAGAGCTCGTGTCCCAGAAGTACTGATGCACACACAGGGCGGCCTCAGTTCGGAGAAAGAAGCACAGCAGTGGCTACCTCCTCATTACAAAATTTACAAAAAAAAAAAAAAACAAAAAAAACCAGACAACTCCTCTAATCTATTTTCTGTTGGATTGGGATTAGCCTGAGCAAAAGCATTTATCTGGAAAATCCCACCACAAGCCTACAGATATTAGGATATGGAGAAAAACAGGTTGCACAGCCGAGAACCTGGGACCCTCTGAGGAGTTCCCAAGTGCCAGCTTTAGACGACTCTGAGGCAGTTCTGGCCCTGCGTGGCTTGCCCCAAACCGACACAACCAGCGACTTGCACGTTACCCTAGGTCAAAGCCACCTGGCAGCGTCAAACACTCTTGCTGCTCGTTCCCGCACTGTGCAACAGCTTGAGCGCCGCTCCCCTCCGGTGAGGCGCAGCCGAGGGAGA